CGTTTGTGATGGTGGGAATGGCCCCCAGAAGTCTATTCCCAGGCAATAGTGTTTGTCGGTTGTCGGGACGGCTTCCAGGTGTGTTCCAACTGTGGCTGTCGCCGGGTTGAAGGTGAAGCATTTTTCGCATTCGGCAACCCTTTTAAAGATTTGCATTCGCATCTCGGGCCAGGTGTAGCGCTGGCGTAATTGGTGGAACGTTCGCTTCCAGCTGGGATGTCCCATTTCAATATGATATTTGTCGATCATTTTCTGGCGTTCGGATTCGTCTGGTATCTCTTTCAACTGGATGGTATTCAGTCAAATGCGGCTGAGAGCATCTGGCCCTGTGAGGGTTTTCCCAGGTTGATGTACCAGGGTGTAGTCGAATGATTCCAGCTTTAGCTTGAGGCTGATGAGACGTGTGTCGGACAGTTTGCCAAGTAGGGCCTTGTGGTCCGTGATGATTTTGAAGTGCCAATGTTCGACGTAGTGGCGGAATTTTTTGGTCGTCGCCCAGACCGCTGTGAGCAGCTCTCGCTGCGTGTTGGAGTAACGTGTTTCAGCGGGGGTGAGGACCCGGCTCGCATACTCCATGATGTGGGGTTGTCCTTCTGGATCAATTTGGACAAGGATGGCCCCAATTGCTGACGAGGACACATCGCAGTGAATCTTGGTATCCCATGCCGGGTCAAAACGTTCAAGCCGAGCGGCGTTAGCTATCGCATTCTTCAGCGCTTCGAACGCGTTGATTGCTTCTGGTGACCATACAATGGCGGTAGCTGGTTTCACCAGAATTGTTAGTTGTAGGACTTTCTCGAGCTGTGCAAAATTAGTGGGCACATGCGCTCGTAGGTAGGTGGCGAGGCCTAGGAATCGCTGCATTTGGCGTGTTGTTGCAGGTTGTGGGAAGGCTTGGACGGCTTTGAGGTGCTCTTCCACGGGGCGTGTGCCCGTTCTGTCGACAATGTGGCCGAGAAAGGTGATGGATTCCGCCAAGAATTTTGATTTGAGGATGTCGATTGACGCTCCTGCGGCCGCAAGCGTATCAAGGATCTGTTGGAGGTTTTCGAGTACCGTTTCAAAGGTATTGCCAAAGACGATGATGTCGTCGATATAGACTAGACACTTTGTGTATAGGTGAGGACGCAGGATGGTCTCCATGGTCCTTTGAAAAATGGCGGGCCCCGTTTTGAGGCCATACGGTAGGACCATGTACTGCATTTGCCCCGTATAGGTTGAGAATGCAGTCTTGTGGCGATTGCCATGCGCGATGGGGATGTGATGGTATCCTGAGTGCAGGTCGAGGCAGCAGAAATAGGCGTTTTGGCACCCTAGTGCGTCGAGGATGTCTTGAATGACTGGCATTGGATAGTTGTCCGCCAGCAAAACTTTGTTAATTTCCCGATAGTCCTCCACCAGGCGCCATTGCTTGATTGCAGGGGCGTTAGGATCGTCATCTTTTGGCGTCAGGAAGGCCGGGGAGTTAACGGTGGACTGGGCTGGTTCTATGATACCCGCGCGGGTGTAATTGTTGATGATATGTTGGAACGCCGGCCGCTTGTCGGGCGAGAGCCGTATGCAGCGACTGGGTTCGGGATCCTCTCCGTTGGTGATTAGCAATGCGACGTGCTGCGGGAAGAGCCCGTGTTTACCACTCCACTGGAAGATGTGAGGGGCGTAGCGCCATAGGAGAGCCGTGATCTGTTGCTGCTCTGTGGGCGTGCCGTGGACAAACGTGATGCCCTCGCCTATTGGCGCTTTTGGGGCTTCGTTAATTGGTTTAATTTGCTGGAAACCGGAAAAGACTCGCTGGCCGTCGAGGGTGATGCAGAAAGGGAGATTCTTAAGCGTGTCGAGTCCGAGAATAACAGGATAGTGCGCGTTGGAGAGTAGCAAGAAGGTGGCTTCGTACGCGGCCGATCCAAGAGTAAAAACAGTACTCACTGCGTGACTGACGGTCGTGGAGACGTGAAGTACCGCCACGGATATCCTCGCTTTGGTCGGGTGTGGAGACAGGCCGACTTCCTCGGCGACGTCCATCGCCATGAACAATTTTGTCGCTCCGGTGTCAATCAGGGCGGTCACCCGTTTGTCTTTGATGGTGATGATGATGGTCAGGCTGTCGTCGGTAGGCATGGGGATTGAGCAGAGGACAGCCGTCACTCCCCGATCTTCCCGTTTCCCGGACATGTTGCTGCGGTATGTCCTGTATTCCCGCATTGGACGCATTTAGTAGATTGAATCGACTGTGCGGGGGATGGTGTATTCACCTGGTTGGCCGGGTTGTTCCGGCATTCCTCGGTTGAATGTGCAACCATACGCCCCAGGTGATAAGAGCAGCTTTGTAGCGGGTGCCCCTCAGCCGTTGTTGACGGCGTGGATGCCCGTGAGCTCGCTCGCGACATTGTGCACTCGGCCGTGCTATGAAAAACCTACCGCTGATGATTCTTGCAGTAGTATTTGGTGACGCCAGATGCCGTCGTTTTGGGCGGGCGGCTGGCGGGTGACTGCGGCGCCGGTGTCGCGGCCGGCTTTGGTGTTGCCGGGAGTGTACGCCTGTATTTGTTGGCGATTACCAGGCAGTCATCCCATGTGAGGGAACGATCGGCTGTCGCCCGTGCGTGGAGTTGGGCGTGGAGCCCGCCGGTGGTGATGGACAGGAGTTGTCCGATGAGGGCCCGCATGATCGCGGTTTCATGTTGCCTGACCTCGTTGGCTGGTAGGTCGACATATCTGAGGTATTTGTCGCGTAAGCGTGGACCAAACTGCGAGAAGAGTTCGTCGGGCGCTGGGTGGAACTGCTGAAACCTGGTAAAATGTTCAAATGGTGATAGACCAAACCTGGCTTTTAGCTTTTCCGCGATCACGTCGTAGTCCTCAAATCCTTGGTCGTAGAGCAGTTGTGTTGCCTCTGCTACCTTCGGTTGGGAGTGCCCGATGAGGCAGTTGACTTTGGTGAAGTTCGGTGTGCCATCATGTTTGAAGGTGGTCTCCAGACGTCTCAGGTACATTTCGATACTTTCGTTTGGTGATTGATGCGGGTAGTCGACGCGTCTGCGCAGGAGCAATCGCGCTAACAGCTCCGTGGACCCCGGTCCCGTCTGATAGTCTGGTGGTGAGCTTAGGATGATGTTGAGCGGTGTTGCGCCTCTGGCCTGAAGTGCGATGATGAGTTTGTCGCGTGGTACTTCATTGGCGTTCGGGAAGCCGTTTGCTATCGTGTACGTACGTATGGCATTCAGCATCAGGAAATTCCATGGATTGGCTGTCGCCCTTGGTTGCAATGATGCTACCGGTTGTGGCGACGCGTTCGCATTGGATGGCCCCGGTTGGGGTTCACTTTCTGTGTGGTCGGTGATCATTGCGGGTCGTCGTCAATCGGCTGAGCCCCCAGTAAGATTTCTCCTTAGTCACACTAGATGAAGCTAGACTAGGAATGAGTAGACACCAATAACGGAATACTGATAGTCTATTCACAAGAGTACACTTTCGCACACATAAATCAGAGATCCGCACTCGTCAGAGGTTCACGGTAGAATGAGGCCTGGCGTGCCTCTCACTATACAAGATGGCCGGTTGCTGGCGCGCGGGCCGTTGCGCAGGCGTACCCTGATTGGGTATGAGGTCAGAACGAAGCTCGTATTGAATACGCGGTATTCCTGTTGCGCGGGACTAATGGCCGCTGGCCGTTACTATTTCATCATGCCATGTCCTCATGTTGAGTCAGTCTCCCTATGTTGTGTCCTTTTTATGATTTTTTATTGAAAAATAAATGTCCCATCTTCAATTGTCCCCATGTCAAGGTGTCTGCATGTGGGGGTCTCACTGTAATATGCACAAATATACAATGTGATTTCCTTATTTTATACTTTACCTAAAAATGTGCGAATGTTTGTGAAAAATATACTGGATTATAAAAAACATGTGTAAGAAGATAATTTATTTCCTTGAAGGCAGTATTCTCCCTGAAATAGCAGTTTTATTTTGAACATGCCATGTACAAGGGTTCTCCCACTGCTGATTGACCTTGGGTACTTCCAGAGTATCTATCACTGTAAAAAAATGTATGGGATTTATCTCATGCAATTGTAAGGTTCTGAGGTTTTTTGTCAGATTTTGATGAACCAAAATTTAGATTTACTGCATGATAAGTGAACATTTTCAAGGCCAGCCACAAAATTTAACACTTTATGTTGCTTTCATCATATAGTTTCCTGCATTTTCTGAAAATTTCAATTTTTTCAATGAATTGTTTGCAACAAATGAAAATATAAGTGCATTTTTCCAAGTGCAGGGGTTTATCTCCAATTTCTTTCTTATTTCCTCTTTTAAAACATCATCCAATGCCAAGTTTTTGCCAGGGATGTTTTTCTCACCGTATAATTTCTTATAATTTTCAAATTTCATATTTTTACAGTGATACCATATTCTAAAAATATTCAAGGCCAAGTGGAAGTGGGATAACCCTTGTTTTTGAAAAAAAAATTGAGCATTTTGAAGTTCTAGAATAGAGCTACATAAATTCTGATATGAGTACTGTTCTATGTTTTATATTTCCTATAATCATGCTAAATTTCTTGTGCATGAAGATTATAACTTCTATACTTGGATGCTTTTTCATTATGCGTAAGTTGGATTTTCCAATTTTTATGTCAATCATTGAAAATTTGTATTGCCTGTACAGTATAATCCAACAACAAATTCATTATTCTGGAAAATTGGTTTGTAAAAATGAAAATAAAATAAAAATTTAACCTATGGAAAAACTGCTGGGACCAAGTTGAAAGAAATGTATGGTAAAACATTTGTGTACTGTACTTTGATAAGATCCATTGTAATGAAATTTCACTGTACTGATCAGTGGTTATGAAAAGTTTCTGGAGCCAAGCAGAGCAATTTCTTGAAAACCCTTGTCCAATTCCCTGTGTGTGTGTGTGTGTGTGTGTGTGTGTGTGTGGGGTTTGTTTTATTTTTATATGGAATTCCTGGTGCCTGTGGGATCGGTACTGTACTGTATATGCAAGTGTGGACTTGTTTTCATTTCTTGCTTCCTTGTTTCCCCACCTCCATGTGTCGGGGCGGATTTGGTTGCGGCACACGAAGGAAAGAAGAAAGAAAGAAGGAAGGAAGGAGGCAGCATCACCGCCACATGTGCTTGTCGGTTGGGCTGGTTGGTTGGTTGGTTCGTGGCGGGAATGAAGCTGCTTCAAATCTGTCCTTTTCTCTCTCTCTCGCGGTTATATTTTATGTATGATGTTTTCGCGTCTGCTATGGACGATAATTGGGGGCCTGTTGCCTGAACCGTTATCTGGCTTCTTGTCGGTGGTCCAACAGCGGCGACGACGACGAGAACGACGACATCATGGGAGGATGAATAGAATAATGCGTCAGTGTGGTTTGTGTCGTCGTGGGCAGTTTGTGGTTTTTGTGTGTTTTTTTTTTTAAATCCATCCGAGTACAGAGGGAGGGAGGGAGCAATCGTTCACTAATTTATTCTCTCTCTCTCTCGTTCATTTAGCTTTGTTCTCCCCCTCCTTCTCTTTGGCCGTTTGAGTTACGGTAGTGTTGATATTGTTTTTTATGTAGTGTGTGAAATACTGTACAGTGCTTGTAAATAAATGTGTACCGTATTTTTTTTTTTTTTTTTTTTTTTTTTTTTTGATTATTATACATATATAATATAATATATAAATTAATTANNNNTGTGTCCCTTTTTTTTTTTTTTTTTTTTTTTTTTGGCAGATCGACTACCCCGACGCGAATCCGCTGAGGCCAGGTCCGCGACAGTCGGTCAACTCGATGAATCTCGACCGACTCTTGGCATTGGACCAGCAGCATCAGCATCGTCGGAGCCGCCATCATCATCATCACCAAGACGAGACTGGCGGCGGTGGTGGTGGTGTCGGAGGAGGAGGAGGAGTCATGAGTGGTGGTGGAGGAGGAGGAGGAGGGAGACGACGGCTGCCATCCACGAACCCGCCGCACAACGCGTCATTGTCGTCGTCGTCATCGTCGTCTTCAACTCGGGATCAGCATCACGTGTGTTTTTTTTCTTCTTGGAATTTTGTTATCAGTTTTTGATCGTTTGTCTCTGCTCTCTCTGTTTTTTTTGTTTTGTTTTTTGTTTTTGGAAACGAAACGAAAAAAAAAGTACTCGGTGGAATTGTCATCGGCGGCGGTGGCGTTGCAGTCGGGTCGGATGCGAGCCGAGTCGGACACGTCGTCGGCCTACTCGGGCTCGGACACGATGGGCTCATCTGCCCAGACTTGCTCCAGCGAAAACGACGACCTGGACTACAACGGTGATATAATTTGAGAAAAGAAGAAAAGAGAAAAAAAGAACCACTTTAATCTCTCGTCATTAATTTTCGTGTTTTTTTTTTCATAATTTTTTTTTTTCGTTTCTTTCGATGTGTGGATCAATCGCAGACCCGGTGCTTGTGGAGACCAACGTGGACAGTGATGATGATGATGATGACGATGGCAAGAGAGGCAGAGGGGGGAATGATGGTGTTGACGACGACGACGATGACGAGGATGACGACGTCGACATTGATGAGGAGGAAGGGGATGACGTGGACGGCGATATTGGGGTGAGTTTTCCGCGTTTGTGTGCATTCGCGGTATTGCATTGAGACCCCCACATGCGGACACTTCGACGTGGGGACATTTATATTTCAATTGAAGAAATTATTAAAAAAGGCCTGACACTGACGCGACAAGAACATTGCGTTTTGAAAAATTGTCAATAAATTTTAGGAAAATTGACCTTTATTAGGCTTAATTGCGAGAAACAGATATTTCCAACCCTAAGATCTATGTAGGAAAAAATTGTTGATACTTTTCCCATCACTTTCCCATACATTCAGCTAATTAAAAAAAAAATTAACTCCAGCACAGAGGGACTTCCTTCTCTTTTTGTGGCTTGGATGTCATTTTCACAGATGTCAATATTTTGATGAACTGTACAGTGGTATACTATTTCAATGCTCAAAATGTTCTTATTGCGTTGAAAAGATATTCACTGAATCAAATTCAAGTGGCAAACAAATTTTTTTTCATGGAATTCTGAAGAATATTTCTTCTATAAAACACCAATTAAAAATTATATAATGTAAGTCTATGGGAAAACAAGACTCAACTTGGTGTCAATTCAACTTAGGGACACTCTTGATGCACCAATTATGTGTGCATCTGGGGGTATCACTGTAGTTTGTACTCATTTGTTACCAATTACAGAAATATAAGCCCTCCTCTCTGGACAAAATACTGGTAGAATTTCTTTAAAAGTTAACCTTACTATGATTTTCTCTGTTTAGTACCTTTGAACCTTGAGAACTCAACCATCCCTAGGTGAAACAGCTTATTGTGCTGTTTTTTTCTTCAAGTCACTGTTTGGAGTCCTTCTGAAATCATGCTCAAGAATAACCTACCCAACTGAAAAGCTTCTCTCTTTGAGCCTCCATGATTTGAATTTTCTGAAGGCCTCTTGGCCATAATTTCATTAACACAGGAAAAAAGTAAAACAACAAAGATGTAACTTGATGCATTTTGAAAGGAAAAGAAATACTAATTGAGCAAATAAACCATTGTCTCCAAGTTTGGCATCCTGTCCACTCATTTGAGAAGCAATTCAAGGACCTGAATATCATTCGAGGGGCAAACAAAATTTAATTTAATGGAATTCTGAAGAATATTTCTTCCATAAATACACCAATTAAAATTATATAATGTAAGTCTATGGGAAAATGAGGCTTGACTCAGGGACACTCTTGATGCACCAATTATGTCCGCATTTGGGGGGTCTCACTGTATTTTTCCTTCAAATCACCCAATTCATTCGTGTGTGTTGTTTGCAGAGTTGCCGGGACACGGTGCGAGAGTGTCTGGAGACGGACCCGACGGAGCGGTCGGCCGACGATATCGACGTCCTGCTCGAGTTTACGCAGCAACTCAAGGCCTTCTCCAACATGACGATGGCCGTGCGACGGGCCCTCTGCGCCGACATGGTGAGTGTCGGTCAAGTGAAATCTCACACACACACACACACAGACTCTATCGCTATCGGATGAATGATTGGTTTGGTTCGTTTCTTTTTAGGTTCTTGCTGTGGTCGAGAAGGCCGGGACGATCGTCATGAACGACGGCGAGGAGCTGGACAGCTGGACAGTGATCGTCAACGGCACGGTGGAGATTGACATGCCGGACGGTGGCAAGAGACTGGAACTGGGCCTGGGGGACTCGTGAGTTTCTCTGTCGTGGATGAGAAAGTGCGAGTGTGCAGTGGGGAGTGTGTGTGTATATGTCCGTGTTTGGGATTTTCGTTGGTAGGTTCGGGATCACGCCGACGATGGACAAGATGTACCACAAGGGCGTGATGCGGACCAAGGTGGACGATTGTCAGTTTGCGTGCATCACGCAGACGGACTACTACCGGATCCTGCACCAGGGCGAGGAGAACACGCTGCGCCACATGGAGGGCGACCAGACTGTGTTGGTAACGGAACAGCGGGCTGTGGACGGCGGGAATCGACAGGGCCACATCATCATCAGGGTGGGAGCACGTGCATTATATAATTTTTAATTGGTGTTTTGTGGAGGAAATACTCACCACCGTAACTCCATGGAAATAAAAATTGTCTCCCAATTCAAACTGATTCCAATTACAGTAATATATTTCAACGCAATGTGGACATTTGGGGAATTGAGTACTGATACCTCTGTACAGTGCATATAAATGTTGGCTTTCTCTGTAAATAAAAAATAAAACATTCAAGTGGAAAGGAGAGAAGGAAGTCCCTCTATGCAGGAAGTAATCTTGTTAAATTAGCTAAATGNACTTGCCATGATTCCTTTAAAATAAAAATCGTCTCAAAAATGGTTCAATCAATATATTTCAACGCAATATGGAAATTTGGGGAATGGAATGCTGATACCTCTGTAACAGTACAAAGAATTGTTGGCATTCTCTGTAAAAATAACCTTCAAGTGAAAAAGAGAGAAGGAAGTCCCTCTATGCAGGAGGTAATTTTTTTATAAATTGGCAAAATGGGTGGTAAATTGGTGAGAGAAATGCCCAAGAACTTTTCTTACATTAATTTTACGGTTGGAAATATCTGTTTCTTGTAATTTGGCCTGAAACTTATTTGCAATTCCATCACAAAATGTCCCTGTGTTGAGTCAGTGTCCTCATCTTGAGTATTTTTATTAATGTTTTATGGGGAAAATAAGTGTCCCAATGTCAAATTGTCCACATGTGGGGGTCTCACTGTATGTATACAAGGTTTTGTGAAAGATGATGAATGGCCACTTGCTGTCATTGGAGGCAGTTGCAATTTTTTGATTTTGCTCTGGAACTCTTCATTGGTGTCTAATGAATGTCTCATTGACTATTCAGCTAGAGAAGGAAACAAGAAAAAGACTTGGATCACAGTGAATGCCCCTCCACTGAAGTGAAGTTTAACCCTATTACCTGCTGTGTGCCCCATTTGGGACTCAGGTGCTTTTTGGAAAATCATAAAAAATGTATTTATGCAATTTCATTCCTAGTGGCATCCTAGCATCACAATTGTATCAGAAGATATGTTTGCACTCACATCCAGCGTATAGTCATACAATTTAGTAAGAAAAATGCCAGGAATTTTACTTTTCTCTTTGGTGTAGAAGAGTATGGTATCTGCCATGAGCCCCATTTGGAGGATCAAGTTGAAACTTCAAATATTTGACAACATTTTGAATTCAAGTTTTGAAGTAAATGTTGCCAGCATTGCTGAATGTAAATGAAGTGAAATGAAGCAAAAATGGGTGTGTGCTGACTTCAGTGGTTATGTTGTAAACTTTGTTTCAGTGGAGGACATTCACCTTGATCCAGGTCTTCCTTATATCTAGCAGAGTAAGGAATGAAAAATTTATTTGACACATTGACACCGATGAGGAGAATTGAAGAGTAAAAGAAAAAAAAAATTGCATATGCTTCCAATGACGGCAAGTGTCCCTATGCCGAATTGTTCGCAGGTCGAGGCATCTCACTGTACTTTATTGTTTTTTGTAAAAAAAAATGTATATATATTGAATGAAATGTGATGAAAAAGGGAGCTGCCGCACGGGAATTTGGGTGCTGGTAGTTTGGACGACTCCCTGTGCCAGTCGAGCCTGTTGTCGTCGGGTCGAGGCTCGTTGTATCACAGCCAGTCCAACCCGGACTTGTCGAGTCTCAGTCTGGACGAGGTGCCGGGCTCGTTTTCCTCGGGGTCTTCATCTTCAGCCGCGGCGGCCTCAACGACGACGACGCCAGGAATGCATTTCCCTTCGTCGTCGTCATTTGGAACAGGAACAGCGGCAATGTCGATGACGTCGTCACACTCGTCGCGACACAATGCTGGTGGTGGTGCTGGTGCTGGACTGGACCATCATCCCGAGCACGTGCTCAAGATTTACAAGTCTGACCAGAGCTGCAAGTATTTGCTCATCAACAAGGTGAACGGAATGGACAAAGAAGAAAAAGACTTGAAGTGACGATGTCCAATACAGTAGAATCCCGTTTCAACAGATTTTTCGTTGGAGCGAATTTTTTCTAGGTCCTGGCAGTTTTTCATGGGGGTAATGTTATGGAAATCTTGTTTCAGCGAATTAATTTTGTACTGTAATCTCATTATAACAAATTTTTGACCATGATCCTGTGCATATGCTATGGGAATTATTTGATAAATGGCTGAAAACTGTGAGAAAAATTGAAAATTTTGAATCATCTAAAAGGAAAACTTTGTGCAGAGAAAAGTTTATGATCAAAAAACTTGGAATATGACTCATTCCCTTGGAATTCTTCTGCTCCATTTTATGCCCTTCTTTAGAATGAACAGTACATATAATAAATGTTTCCTTGATTTTAAAGAGACAGAGAGCTGTGATTAAAGAAGGTAATTCAGAAGAAAGTACAGTATTTCTACCACATGCAATTTTGTTTCTTGTTATTTTTCAGGACAGGCAATACTTTAGTACAAAGGCAGGTTTAATGAAAGGGACGTACAGTCTATTTCAAAAGTTTTTGCCTAAATTCATCAGAAATACTTATCATCATTTTAGGTTTTGAATTTTCTCTTCTTGAAAGCACATTAGAGTATTTATTTTGAATTTTCCACAAAATTTCAGGCTAAACTGTGCACAAAAACCCTGTATCTCCAAATAACACATTTTTTTCTTTAAGCAAATTTGTGTCAGGTCCCCAGGAGTTTGTTGTAATGAGATTTTACTGTAGCTGCACAGTACTGTGCAGTACATTGAGACCCCAAGGTGCAGACATAATTGGTGCATCAAGAGTGTCCCTAAGTCAAGTTTTATGTTCCTGTAGACTTATATTATGTAATTTTTTATTGCTGGTTTATGGAAGAAATGTTCTTCAGAATTCCATGAACGAAAAATTTGTTTGCCACTTGAATTTGATTCAGTGAAAATCTTTTCAACCCATAAAAAACATTTGGAGCATTGAATAGTATACTGCTGTACAGTTCACTGAAATGTTGCCATCTGTAAAATTAACATCCAAGTCACAAAGAGAGAAGGAAGTCCCTATCTGCTATAGGTAATTTCTTTTTAAATTAGCTGAATGGATGGGAAAGTGATGGGGAAAGTACCAAAGAATTTTTCTTGCATATATCTTAGGATAGGAAATAACTGTTTCTTGCAATTAAGCCTAATAAAAGTCAATTTTCCTGAAATTTATTGGCAATTATATTGTGCAATGTCCTCATGTTGAGTCAGTGTCCCTATGTTGGGCCTATTTTATGATATTTTTTTACTGGAAAATAAATGTCCTAATGTTGAGGTGACTCACTGTACTTGACTATTGGCTCGTAATTTTTTGCAGGAGACGACTGCCCGTGAAGTTGTGATGCTGGCCCTGCGGGAATTCGGCATCCAGGAGGGCCTCAGCTCCGACTACTGTCTCTGCGAAGTTTCGGTGACGCACGGGACGCTGATGAAGCAGCGCCGGCTGCCGGACATGCTGCAGAACCTGGCGGAGCGGATCGGACTCAGCAGTCGCTACTACCTCAAGAACATCCGAGTGACGGACCCGCTGGTGCCTGACGAGATGGCGGCCGAGCTGGCCCGCGAAAGCAACGTGAGCCTGCTGCATCTGCGTGCCGTCGAGGTGGCCACGCAGCTCACGCTGCAAGACTTTGCCATCTTCCGCCAGATCGAGGCCACCGAGTACGTGGACGACTTGTTTTACAACCAGAGTCGGTCTCGCTACGGGCTGCCCTTGCTCACCAAGTTCTCTCAAGTACGTGCGGTATTACGAGGGGATTGTTTTGTTTTGTTTGTTTGATGGGTATCTTGGGTCTCTCTTTGCAGCTGGTCAACACAGAAATGTTTTGGGTCGTGAGCGAAATCGTGGTGGAGCACAATGTAGTGAAACGGGCCCGGCTCGTGAAGCAGTTTATCAAGATTGCTCGTGAGTTGACTTGCGCATCTTCTTCTTTCTCTTTTTTTTTTGTGTGTCTTGATTCATGTATGTGTTTGGTGATGCAGGTCAGTGCAAGGAATGCAGGAACTTGAACTCGATGTTTGCCATCCTGTCTGGCCTCGGCCACGGCGCCGTGACGCGCTTGAAGAACACGTGGGACCGTCTGCCGCAAAAGTACGTGAACCTGTTTGCCGACATGCAAATGCTGATGGACCCCTCGCGAAACATGGCTAAATATCGGAACTTGTTGGCAAGTGACAGTGCCCAGCCGCCGATGGTGAGTGTCTCTCGGGTTGACGAGGAAAACGAAAAAAAAAAAAAAAACCGGAAAGGAGAAGATTCAAGGGTCTCTACGGAATGGTTTTCCTTACCAGCTTATCTGATTGTGTGATGGATTACTGCTCATACTGGTTAAACGGGATATTTCAAATTTTCATCATTTGTTTTTTGGGGACATCCGAAATTAATTTCTTCATTCTTTGTTGCTCAAAAAGTTTCATGTACAGTAATATAAATTTGCACCAAAAAGGAACTTATCAAACTTGACCTATCCTAAATTTACCTGACTTAACCTAACCTAACTACCATATTTACTCAAGTACCATGCGCACCTTTTTTCTCAAATTTCAGAAGAAAAAAAAGGGGTGCACATCATGAGCGGGTACACATTTTTTAAGAAGTTTTAGGAAGATGTGTGCATTATACTTAATGATAATGGAGAAATTTGGAACAAATGTTAAAAAAAAACCTTTTTTGTACTGAAAAAGTTGAAAATTGATCAGATTTTTGTTATATTCATGTCTAAAGTCAAATTGTTCGTTCTTATTTTTGAAATTTAGTGGTTTTAGATTCACTAGAGATTTGGGTGCGCGTCTTACTTGGGGATAAGATTTTAGCAAAATTTTCAACTGAAAAACCCCTGTGCGCTCCTTACTTGAGGGCAAGTGGTGCTTGAGTAAATACAGTTACCTAACCTAACCTATACTAACCTAACCTAATTAATCTAACTTAACCTAACCTAACTAATCTAACTTAACCTAACTAACCTAGCTAATCTAACTTAACCTAACCTAACCAACCTAACTAATCTAACTTAACCGAACTAATCTATTTAATCTAAGCTAACCTAACCTAAACTAACCTAACCTAACCTAACCTAACCTAACCTAACCTAACCAAACCAAACCAAACCAAACTAACTAATCTAATTAATCTAACTTAACCTAACCTATCCTAAATTGACCTGACTTAACCCAACCTAACCAAAGTAAAAAAACTTTGAACAATTGTATCATTATGTAAACTATTATATCCCAATTTAAGCTGTTTGGACTAAAGACAGATGTCCTCTGAAGAGTCTAAAAGCCAAGAATGAAAGGTCGCAGCGATTGGTAGGAATAGAACCAGTTTCTGGTGGGGGTAAGAACCTGAACTCCCAAGATCTCTGGTAGAGAGCCATTCTGCTCACCGATTCATGGGGATGGGGGGCTTGTTTCTCTTTTTGGTTGCAGATCCCGTTTTGGCCCGTGGTCAAAAAGGACCTAACCTTCATCCACTTGGGCAACGACACGATGGTCGACGGCCTGTACAACTTCGAGAAACTCCGCATGATTGCCAAGGAGGTCCGGGCTCTCATCAATATGTGTTCTGCTCCTTATGTGAGTTCTGGTCCTCGTTTGTGAAAATGGTCATGTGTTTTCAATCTTCTTCTTCTTGTTCTTCTTCGCGGTAAGGATCTGCTGACGATGCTGGACTTGGGCGGGCAGCCAGCAAGCGCAGCCATGGTGACGATGAATCAGCTGACGACCGGAGGCCAGTCCTCGCTGTCGACCGTCAAACGCCGCAAAAAGTCCATCGCGACGCCGAACCCCAAGAAGATGTTTGAGGAGGTGAGTGTGTTTGTTTGTTTGTTGTCTCTGGATTTTCTTCTGCCGGGAAAATAAAACAATATATTCTGGGATTTTAATTTAGGCTCAGATGGTGCGTCGTGTGAAGGCCTACTTGGGCAACCTGAAGGTGACGACGGACGAGGACCAGCTGCACCGCATGTCGCTCGAGTGCGAAGGCGGCGGGAACCTGGGCGGCAGCAGCGCGGCCCTGGGGTCCGGCTCCAACTCGGCCACGCTGCGACGCCGCCAGCCGTCGCCCACGCTGTCGACGGCGTCCAGCAACTCGCAGACGTCGATCCAATCTGATCCGCGGAAGCCCAAGTTTGGCGCCGCGTCGCCGCAGTCGGTGAAGAAGCTGCTGTCCCTCAGCGAGCCCAAGACGAGGCCGTATCAGCCGCCGAAGCCGCCGTCTGCCGCGTTGTCATCGTCGTCCCTCTCGCTGCCTTTGTCTCTGAATGGGGCGGCGACGACCACCACCACCACCACCGCCGCCGCCGCCACTGGGGGCGGTGGTGGTGGAGTAGTTGGTGGTGGTGGCTTGCACGAGTCGTCGGTGTCGCTGCCGTGTCACTCGCCGGCTGCCGCGAGGAAGGGTTCGTCGGTGTCGCTGTCACTGCACGCGACGCACGGCAGTTTCCTGCATTTCGGCAGTCGGGGCGGACTGGGACTGGCCATGCACCAGCACGAACGGAGTCACTCGGACACGCCGTCGTCGCTGCTCTTGCCGGTCGACCTCACTATTGAAAGCACGAGCGTCACGAGTCTCAACAGCCTGCCTTTCCGCAACAAGACTCTGGCCACAGGAGGAGGAGGAGGAGGGACAGGTGTGGCCCATTCCAGTGAGTCCCTTGATTGGCCCTACTGTGAAGATAAACGAGGCAAACCGAACCGAGGGAAGAAAACAGTAGTGTCTTTTTGTACTGTGAAATCTCGTTGGAAAAAACTCTTGTGGGGGGGGGGGGGGGGTCCTTACGAAAATTCGTTTTGAGGGAACATTTGTTGCATTGAGATTCATGGTTTTTTTTTTTTTTTTTTTTTTTTTTTAATATTTATCATAAAGGGGTGAAGGCATCATCCTTAAACGGATGGTTTTCAGGCCATTTTGAAGTGTTGAGAATTTAATTGTCCAAGCACAACTTTGATAGGATCTTTTTTTTTTTTTTATACAAAGTTTAGCCTGACATTTTGTAGAAAATTGGCAAATAATACTGTAATGTGCTCTCAAAAAGAGATAATTCTATTCATATCCTTATTGATGAGTATTTCTGATGAATATTAAGCAAAAACTTTTGAAGTAGACAGTGATTTCCTTTCATTGAACCTGCCTTTGTACTAAAGTATTGCTGGTCTTGAAAAATAACAAGAAACAAAGTTGCATGTGTTAGAAATACTTGACTGTACTTTCTTGTATATTAACATGTTTAATCATAGCTTATCTGCCTCTTTCGAATCAAGGAAACAATTTCTAAATGTACAGTACTGTTTATTCTAAAGAAGGGCATAAAATGGAGCTGAAGAATTCCAAGGAAATAAGTCATATTGCAAATTTTTTGATCATGAACTTTTCTCTGCATGAAGTTTTCCTTTTTTGATTATGCTGGGATGCTACAATTTTCAATATTTTTCCTGGTTTTCTTCCATTTATCGAATAATTCCTATGGCGTATGCACAGAATCATGGCCAAAAATTTTTATAATGAGATTACAGCATAAAATTGATTTGTTGAAATGAGTTTTTAGTGACATTACGCCTATGAGAAACTGCCAGGACCAAGAACAATTTTTTTGAAACGAGATTCGTTTATTCCTCTCTTTTTTTCCCATCAAGGTTGTAGTTCATCAGAGACTGGGAACACGGCCCATGTGTCGGGATCGCCCGACACGGACTCGGGCCAAGGAGACACGCAATCCAACAGCTCTAGTGACGCCTCAACCAGTGGCAGGGCCACATCAGGAGCCGTCCCAGGGCTGCGACATCCGTCTCCGCCCCCACCTCCTCCGCCACAAAGACGCTTCTCTGCACACCCAGGTCGGAGTCCGTGCCTGACTCTTTGTTTTTCTTGATCCCTTGCTTGCTTGCTCAAATTACCGTTGCTCGTTGAGCTGCTTTTGTGACGCTTTTTTTTCATTTCTTCTTCTGTCTGTCTGTCCCTGTGTGGCTGTTCGAGGGTTGGTTTGTAAAAGATGATGAAACGGCCACTTGCCTTCATTGGTGTCCAATAAATGTTTCATCCAATACTCAGGGAAGAGTATTTGAAAGAAGAGAAAACATTCTACAATATGAAGCTAAAGAATTTCCAAGAAATTGGTCATTTTATGCATTTTTCAAACATGAAGTTATCTCTATACAGAAAATCTTCTTTGATGAGGTTAAATGCTGCCCAATGCACATTTTTTGTGAAGTTTTGTGCCATTTAATAAAGAATTCCCTATGTTAATAATTGTTGCCAAAAATTGTTATAAGATCACTTGCCCAAAAAAAGTTTGCAGAAACAGGATGCTTTTCTCAACATTACACTGATGGGAAACTGCCAGAGAACAAAGAAGTGAAGTCATCACAATAAAGTATTTGTTATGACAATATTGGTTTTAGCAGAATTCTGTAGTTGAATGAGGAACATCGTCAAAATAGATGCTGGATGCCATCAAAATAAAAAAGCATGTTGAATTTATAGTAATGGGATATCAAAAGAGCTGTGCCATGTTATGTGCTGGAATCCACCTGATTTCAGACATATTCAAAAATGACAGTTATTTCTATTCCAGGTAGTCAAAGTGAGAATCCTGGATCCAACTTGCCATCATTGGTTGCGGATGCAAATTTTTCTTTCTTTTGCTCTTCAATTCTCTTCATTGGTGTCTGATTCATTGATTACCCAGCTACAGAGGGGAACAAGAAAAGTACCTGGATCACACAGTGAATGCCCTCCACTGAAGTGAAGTTTATCATGTATTACCTGAAGTCATAAAGCGTGCAAGTGCACATTCAGCTGCTCTTGATCAAGTAAACTTCACATCAGTGGATGGGGATTCACTGTGATCCAGGTCTTTTTCATTTTTCCCTCTGTAGCTGAGTAATCATTGAAAAATTTATTGGTCACCAATGAATAATTGAAGATCAAAAGAAAAAAAATAGCATCTGCCTCCGATGACAGCAAGGGGCAGTTAATCATCTTTTACCTAACAAACCCTTGTATATATACAGTGAGACCCCCACATGTGGACAATTTGCCATAGGGACACTTATTTTCCCATAAAAAAAATTAGCAAAAAAGGCCCAAAATTGAGGACACAGACTCAACACAGGGACATTTTGTGATAAAATTGCAAATCAGTTTCAGGCCAAATTACAAGAAACAGATACTTCCAACCCTAAAATTGATGCAAGAAAAGTTCTTGGGCATTTCTCTCACCGATTTACCATCCATTTAGCTAATTTAAAAAAATTACCTCCAGCATAGAGGGACTTCCTTCTCTCTTTTTCACTTGAATGTTATTTTTTTTACAGAGAATGCCAACATTTCTATGCACTGTACAGAGGTATCAGTAGTCAATTCCCCAAATTTCCATATTGTGTTGAAATATTTTGATTGAATCAGTTTAAAATTGGGAGACAATTTTTATTTTCATGGAATTGGGGTGAGTATTTAGTCCATAAAACACCAATTAAAAAGTATATAATGTACGTCTAAGGGAAAATGAGACTCAACTTAGGGTCACTCTTGATGCACCAATCATGTCCACATCTTGGGGTCTCACTGTTGACCCCAATGAAGAATTGACGAGCAAAAGAAAATAAAAATTGCATCTGCCTCCAATGACAGCAAGGTGCAGTTGATCATCTTTTACAAACCAACCCTCATATTTATATCTCTCTCTTTATCTGTCTATCAAACTACCTATTTATCTTTATGAATGAATGTATGTACGTATGTTTGTATGTATGTACATGTGTGTTCCGTCCGTGACGTAGCAGCTGATGTGTCGTCGTCTTGTTTGTCCTCTGCATCATCATCTTCTTCGTTGCATGGCTACCGGGCGCCACCATTCCCCTCAGCAGTGCCTGTGCTTCCCCCGATCCCCAGTCGGTCTGCAGGTGAGGAGAAAACTCGTTTCGTGCATGCGCGAAGTGAAACAAATGGCGATTTCTTCTGGTCTTGTATTTTTGTCATGTACAGCACAGTTCAGTACTCTGGAGAAGGAGGAGGATGTGAAATGATGAGTGCTTGTTTGACTTGTTTTTGGTTTGCAGCACTGGCTACTGGCCCAATGGTGCGACCCAGACGACCGCCTGATTACACCCCGCCGCCGCCGCATGCCTTCCATCAGCCGCAGGCTCACCCGAGATCCATGGTGAACCGGACGCAGTCGCACGACAACAGTGATAACCCAGTCGTGTGTTCGCGCTATCTGGACACGACGGATGGTGCGTTCTATAGTGGCTGACTTGGAACAGTGAGACCCCCCACCCCGAGATGCGGACGTAATTGGTGATTGGAGAGTGTCCCCAAGTCGAGTCTCATTTTCCCTTTGACTTACATTATTCAATTTTTTAATTGGCGTCTTATGGACAAAATACCGTATTTACTCGAGTGCCATGCACACCTTTTTCCTCAAATTTCAGAAGAAAAAAAGGGGTGCGCGTCATAAGCGGGTACAAATTTTTCAAGAAGTCTTAGGTAGTTATGTGTGCATTAGACTTAATTATAATTGAGAAATTTTGAACAAATGTAACAAGAAAACATTTTTGTCCTGAAAAGGTTGAAAATTGATCTGATTTTGTTCATTTCATGTCTAAAGTCAAATTTTTTACATTTATTTTCAAAATTTTGTGGTTTTAGATTCACTAAAAATTTGGGGTGCGTGTCTTACTCGGGTATAAGATTTTAGCCAAATCACCAACTGAAAAACCCCTGTATGCGCGTTACTCAAGGGTGAGTGGTACTTGAGTAAATACAATACTTGCCATGATTCCTTTAAAATAAAAATCGTCTCAAAAATGGTTCAATCAATATATTTCAACGCAATATGGAAATTTGGGGAATGGAATGCTGATACCTCTGTAACAGTACAAAGAATTGTTGGCATTCTCTGTAAAAATAACCTTCAAGTGAAAAAGAGAGAAGGAAGTCCCTCTATGCAGGAGGTAATTTTTTTATAAATTGGCAAAATGGGTGGTAAATTGGTGAGAGAAATGCCCAAGAACTTTTCTTACATTAATTTTACGGTTGGAAATATCTGTTTCTTGTAATTTGGCCTGAAACTTATTTGCAATTCCATCACAAAATGTCCCTGTGTTGAGTCAGTGTCCTCATCTTGAGTATTTTTATTAATGTTTTATGGGGAAAATAAGTGTCCCAATGTCAAATTGTCCACATGTGGGGGTCTCACTGTATGTATACAAGGTTTTGTGAAAGATGATGAATGGCCACTTGCTGTCATTGGAGGCAGTTGCAATTTTTTGATTTTGCTCTGGAACTCTTCATTGGTGTCTAATGAATGTCTCATTGACTATTCAGCTAGAGAAGGAAACAAGAAAAAGACTTGGATCACAGTGAATGCCCCTCCACTGAAGTGAAGTTTAACCCTATTACCTGCTGTGTGCCCCATTTGGGACTCAGGTGCTTTTTGGAAAATCATAAAAAATGTATTTATGCAATTTCATTCCTAGTGGCATCCTAGCATCACAATTGTATCAGAAGATATGTTTGCACTCACATCCAGCGTATAGTCATACAATTTAGTAAGAAAAATGCCAGGAATTTTACTTTTCTCTTTGGTGTAGAAGAGTATGGTATCTGCCATGAGCCCCATTTGGAGGATCAAGTTGAAACTTCAAATATTTGACAACATTTTGAATTCAAGTTTTGAAGTAAATGTTGCCAGCATTGCTGAATGTAAATGAAGTGAAATGAAGCAAAAATGGGTGTGTGCTGACTTCAGTGGTTATGTTGTAAACTTTGTTTCAGTGGAGGACATTCACCTTGATCCAGGTCTTCCTTATATCTAGCAGAGTAAGGAATGAAAAATTTATTTGACACATTGACACCGATGAAGAGAATTGAAGAGTAAAAGAAAAAAAAAATTGCATATGCTTCCAATGACGGCAAGTGGCCATTTATAATCTTTTACAAACCAAGGCTTTGTATGTGGATTCTTTCCTTTCTTCATTCATTCACTCACTCACTCATCTTTTTGTTGTCCATTTCTCCTCTTCCTCCTCCATTTGTTTTACACTCTAGATGAAACGGCGCAAGTGTCGGCCGTGTGACAAGAAGATTGGATCTGCCTTGCTTTTCTCGAGCCGCCTTTTTGGAGATTCGTCGTCGTCTTCTTTGGTGTTTTTTTTTGGCCTGCCAAGCGAAATTATTATTTTTATTTTCTTGCAAGTGGGCTATAATAAGTCATCCTCGGTGCTTTTGCCTGCGGATCAAAGAGTTTTCCTTCTCTTTTTTTTTGCCAATGGGACGCTTTTTTGGGGGGGGGGGGGGGAGATGTTTTTTTTTTTTAATTTTCCGACAACTTTGTTTGAAGCTTCTTATTTGTTGTATGAAGAACTGTGTTTGTTTTTTTGCTATGCATTGCGTGTGCACACGATCTGCCGTACTACGTTGTGGGAATCTGGTCATTCAAGTGCGTGACAGACGGATGCTTTTTTATCTCATCTGTGCGCGTGTCAAATTTTTTTTTTTAGGCTTGAAGCAGTCCTTTTTTTTGCTTGATTGAATTCATTCCGTTTGTGCTTTTTCATCATCACCGCCTCAACTTCATATAATAAGAGTAAATGATGTAATTTACTTGTTCTGCGGGAGGTATTTTGCAGATGAGACGTGGGCCTGACGACGAAGAGAGGAAGGAAAAGAAAAGGAAACGATGATTCTGCACCTGATGGACGGGAAGCCAAAGATATATATTTTTTTTGATTGATTTTGTTTTTGCGTTTGAATACGGATGTCGTCGATATTTTTTCACACCTCTCGTCCGAGAGACGATTATTATTGTTGCTCGTCCTTTTATTTACGGCCACGCTTTATACGAACAGACTGCTTCTATTATATTGGCCCTGACTGTTCCGTCATAGGCTGATTGATTGATTGATCAATCGATGATGAAAAATTAAAATCATACAGTTTTCCGACCTTTCACCACTGTATGATTCTTGCCAATGTATGGTTCTTTTCATTCAGTTGGTTGATTGTTACATGATGGATGATTACTGTATTTACTTGAGTACTACGCGCACCTTTTTTCTCAAATTTCAGAAGAAAAATAGGGGTGCGCATCATAAGTGGGTACAAATTTTTCAAGAAGTTTTAGGAAGTTATGTGTGCGTCATACTTAATCTTGATTGAGAAATTTGGAAAAAATGTAGCAAGAAAACTTTTTTGTACTGAAAAAGTTGAAAATTGGTCAGATTTTTGTTCAATTTATGCCTGAAGTCAAATTTTTTTGTTGTTTTTTTTTCAAAATTTTGGGGTTTTAGATTCACTCAAATTTGGGGTGTGCATCTTACTTGGGTATACAATTTTAGCCAAATTTCCAACTGAGAAACCCCTGTGAGCACCTTACTTGAGGGCATGTGGTACTTAAGTAAATATGGTACTTCTTCAACTTTTTACCAAGGATGTGGACACATCATCTATACTGACAAAGGAAGTTGAATCTCCAGTTTGGACTGCTAGTCATAGATGGTGGGAGCGTTGAAGTTTCATGGTGGGGTCCTAACCACCCCAAAAGTCTAGAATTTTCAAGAACAATTCAATTACAGTGAATAAACAGGGAAAAATAACATACTGCATAATTTCACTGCAAAGGTTTTGCTTGGGGGAATGTCAATCCAAGGAAAGACTGGTGAGGTGTGCAAGCAGAGGATATGCAAGCAGATCCTCCCTGGTGCCCAGTGTGGAGATGATTGAGTGTCCTCTGGTGAACAAGTTCTATGTTATGTGTTACTGTGTTCAGGAATCATCTTTCAACAAATTTGTTTTACATCTTGCTGTCAAGGTTGGGAAGTACATGTGTGGACAAGGTGGCCCTGTATGCTGCAAAACCTATTGAATCCATGGAAGATCTGGACAAAAACTTGGAACATGAAGACAGGTGCATTTTGATGGGGATTCCTCCTGCAAGTCAGCATTTGAGAAGACACAGAGAGATGGTTCGACATGCTTTGGTGACTGAAGAGGATGTGATAAAGGCAAAAGGTGTTGCCATATATGATCCTATGTTGTCATTGACAAGTACTGTGATGGGACACCCTGGGTTGCCAAAATTTTTGTTTCACAAACTTTTGCCCTTGAAGAAAAATCCGCCAGTTAAATTTATCTCTGAAGATAACCACTTTCATGACAGGATTTTCAAAATCATTGACAGTGGCAGACTTGTATATATTCAACACCTTCCCATTGTGGTTTTTCCAGATGTTTTCCAGTGCTTGAAAATGTCCCCAGAAGTTTGTTGTAACAAGATTTTATTGTATGTAAAAATATGTATAAAACTTCAAGTGCAGTAGCCAAAAACTGAGTTTCAGATGTTCAAGATAAATTCTTCTAGATCAAATTGGCTTGGGATTGATTGGAAATGTGATTTGGGGGTGTGCATAATTTTACATGGCAGAATTGAAAATCCTCTCAAACATTATGCACTGTATTTTATCTTTTTTTTTGCGCACCAGTTGAAGGATGGAAAAGTGGCTATTATGAAGATGGATGAAACTGCCAATGATGTTCATCCTCCTTGTGATGTCCATGGTTTTCCAAGTATCTATTTGGCACCCATGAAGGATGCCAGGGACAAACCTGTCAAATACCAAGGAGGACAAGAACTCTATTGAATATATTGCTCAACACTCCACTGGTGGGCTGTCCAAACCAAAAGACAAGCTTTAGGATGTTTTGGCTGAAGTTATGAAACTTTTATTTCTGAATTCAGTGGGATGTTTTTCAAGTCAATGAATATCTTGCCCATATTTTTAGGCATTCATCTGGTTTCCTTTGAATTTTGGAATTTTTTTTATTTAGAGGGAAAATCCTTCAGTTAAGAAATGAGATTTTGGTTGACAAACTTTCTTCTGGGGGAAAATTCCAAATTTTAAAATTAAAAATTGTCATATCATGGCAGAATTTAAGTGCAAATAATTCACCCATGCACTGATATGGAAAGTATTCCCTTCTCAAAATATAATATGTGTGATCATGTGTTCTGAAATATGTTTTAGGTACATTATTCATATCTTAATACTTCCTTTTTTGCATGTTTTTTCTGGTTGTAAAATTGTTAGAATGGTCTATTTAATTTTTACTTTGAGCAGTGAAGAAATTAATTTCATTTCAACTGAAATGTATCCTTGCTGAGTGTGTGTTCCTCTGAATGTGAAGCTTTTTTATCATTGTTTTCATTAGTGCTACTGCCATATTCAACATTGTAAAAACATTCTGGGCTCAAATAAGATTCAGCAAAAATGTATTCTGATGGCTTTGATTTTTCTTTATATTTCATGTTTTCAATTTTCTTTTGGGTTCCCAGAACAGATTAAATAATTTCCCATTTTATTCTATATGTGAAAATTAAATTTGACTAGCGCACTCTTCTGTGAACAAAGTTTTCTCTGGAACCAATTGTCTCTGTTAACTGGAAGTCTGCTGTAATGAGTTCCCATACACATGCATGAAGGCTTGGTGATTTATAAACAGCCCTCAATGCAAAACTCTTGCTTGCATTGAGGATACTCATGAATTTTGTTGAATTTCAGGAATACAGTTTGCTCTTCCCTCATTTTTGCCAGAGCATAATGTCATGGAGTTCTTGAGAAGGTTAATACTGTACTGTATAATGGTTTTACTATGATGCCCTGACTTGGTGCATGCATGAAATTGATCTGTAAGCTGTTCATGTCTCCCACCCAGAATTTCTTTGAAATACACTATTTATCATAAAGGGGTGAAGGCATCATCCTTAAACGGATGGTTTTCAGGCCATTTTGAAGTGTTGAGAATTTAATTGTCCAAGCACAACTTTGATAGGATCTTTTTTTTGTGGAATATTGCTTAAATTGCTGGGAATTTTCATTGCTTTGTTTAATTGAACAAGACATGCCCTCAACTCATTCTCTGAGATTTCAGTGGTGTTTTTCAAATTTGAAGGGATTGTATTTGTATCACTTTTTAAATACTGTACTGGGATGAATCAGTTTGGGTATCTCATTCAAGAGTCAGGACTCAAGTGATCTTTGTTGGGAGATTATATAAAGGCATGTGTTGAGTTTCCAAATTGATTCTAATTTATATCTAGTGTTCATTTTCACTGTATGCATTGCTGAATGCTCATGATTGGAATGGTTTCACACATCTATACTGTAATTGAATATCTGATGGTTTAATTTTGAACTGGTGCTATATTTACCACAACAAATTGATGGACTAAATTTATAGATGGTGGCATCAACAAGTATATTCAAGTGCCAGAATCTTTGGGAGAGTAATTTTATGCAATGTAACTGTAAATTGGAAACATGGCATTTATATGTTATGATCTGCACTTCAACCACACCAATGCACATGCAATAATTTCTTTGATCCATGCTTTGATATTTGGGTATCAGTTGGAAAAAAATCATTTCCTGATCATCATATGAAACCTGAACTAGAATGAATTGAATCTTGCCTTTTGACACAATGGAAGCACATTGGCAACACTGTGGGCTGTGAACTATATTGGAATACATTCAAAATTTTGTTATACTGTAAAAATGTGTGTTTTTTGCATCTGCCCAATCAGCACAACTGATGTTTCTTCAATCTCAAAATTCAAAATTCAAGTTCAAAATGCCTCTTTGTAACAAGGTTTTCATTGTGATTTTTGTATCAAAATAAAAAAAAACAATCTTTAAAGTCTTTTGCAGGGACTTGAATAAATAAATTTATCTCAAATGCTAATTTTTCTAAATAACAAGTGTCATTGTAAATATTTTTTACTGTACACATTTATACAAGGGTTGTCCCACTTCTGGTTGACCTGGAGTGTTTCTAGTGCAGGTAAAAGTGTGGAAAAAATATATGATGTAGCCCATGCAATTTTGAGGCTATGTAATTTTTTATTCAGTTTTTTTTTGGAAAATTTTGGATTTACTGCATGCTATTGAGTGAAAACTCACCAGTTATGGTGAGAGTTCTCCACCCATGTCAGAAGCTGTTGACACTTTTTCATGCCAGAAAAAAAATTGAAAATTTGATGTTCCTTTCAGTCTGAGCTTTCCTATATACATGGTCAAAAAATTTCAAATCTTTGGAATGACAATTTTGTTCGCAGAAAATGAAAAACAAAGTACATGTAGCCTTTTTTCAATAGCACTGCTTCATTAAAAAAAAATTTTCTCTTCACAAAATCATCCAAAGCTTGTTTTTTTGCTTGTGATATGTATCTTATCAACATGAAATTTTTGCTTACTTTTTTCATCTGCTGCCTCAATCTCCATAAAGGCAGGATAAGGGGACACTTGTCCAAGTAGTGTTAGATGTTGTTCATGCTGATTGCTGTATTTTGCTTCCAGTTGCACAGGGCTCATATCCCTGATTCCCATTGATTCTTGTGTTTTCCTTTATTCCAGGAGACAGCACTTCAGTTTTAAATCTTGAATAATTTCTCACTTTGAAGTTTTGAAATTTCCAGATGCAAAATTTGTGTGTTCTTCTTTCCATACAAGAATGATGAATTTTATTTGGCAAAGATCAACCAAACAATTTGCAAACTCCATATGATGCAGGCAAATTTGTGCTAGAAACATGATAAAAATGTCAATTTTTGAGCCCAAAATGCGTTACCAATGCTATATACAGAAGTAGCACTGATGAAAACAAAGAAGAAAGCTTCACATTCAGAGAAACAAACACTAAAAAGTACATTTCAGTTGAGAATGAAATCTTTTTTAAATATAAAAAGTAAAAATAGAATAGACTTTTCAAACAGTTTTACCACTAAAAGAATCAAGCACAGAAAAGCAGATAATTCAATGTATGTACGAATAATGTTGCTGAAACATATTTTAAAACACATGATTACACTTTTTCAATTTCCAAAAGGGTATCATTTCCATGAGCCAATTATTTTCACTACAATTGTGCCATGAAATCACAGTTTTAATTTTCAAATTTGGCATTCCCCCCCCCCAGAAAAAAGGCTTGTTAACCAAATTCTGGTTTGTTAACTGAGGGATTTTTTTTCAAAAACAAAAGTTTGTTAACCAAGGGTCCACTGCATTTTATAATAATCCACCAGCATCACAAAGAAAAAAATTCAATGACTCTCAAAAAATATGTTAACTGGTCCTGCACACTTCAGCCAGTCCCTGATGAACCTGGCGCCAGTATTTTATTTTTTTGCAGCTGAGATTGGCACATGTAACTTCCGCTGAATCAACAATAGAAAGTTATATAAACCCTTTTGTTTGCCCAACAGCAGCAAGGGACTGTGGCATGTATTATATATTCTATGCATGCACAAATAAAGTCCAGACACAATGAAGAGAAGCAGCCATGTTTCAAACACTTGAAGGTAGTTCTTTATTGACACCCATTGTGTCCAGTGGGATATTTTATATGAACAGTGAGATATTTTTCAAGTACAGTATTTTTAAATTCATGCTCAGTTTACACATGTGTCTTTTTTGAATGAAAACATTTATTGAAGAAAACTGATTATACATTCAGAATAATCCAGAGGACCCTGGGTTTTAAAGAAAAATCCCAAATTGGAAAATTCAAAATTTGATTTCAATGTTGAAATTCATGGTGCAATTGAAGTACAAATAAATCACCCATAAACTTACATGGAAATTCTTCCCTTCTGTTACTTATATATATATATATACATATAAGTGCGTAATCTTATGTTTTAAAATCTGTTTCAGCTGCATTATTCATACATGCTTTTCTGTGACAGAACTATTTGCTTTTCTAAAGCTATTCAATTGTTGGGAAGTTCTATTTGATCTTCACTTGCAGCATTACAAAAAAATTTCATTTTCACTTGATTTTTTTATCCTTCAGTGTGTGTTTCTCTGGATTTATGTTTGTTTTCATCAGTGCTACTTTCATATAACACTGCAAACACATTCTAGGCTTATGAAATATAAGCAGCAACAATTTATTCTGGTTTTGGTTGATGGTCTTGATTTTTTTCCACACTCCATTTACAATTCTCTTTGGGTCTCACAGAATGGATTAAATTCCTCCTCACTGAATTTCTCTGGGAAACTCAAATTTATTCATCAAACCCTTTGTCTGGAACTAGTTGATTTTGTTAACTCACAGGGTCCAGTGTATTTGAATGCTCAGAGCCAGCAGGAAATATTTTGGGAAATTTTTCTGCCAAAGTACATACATGGAAATGGGAAAAATTAGGAAAAGTGCTGCACAAGGAATATATATAGACCGGAAATGCACCCATTGAACATACACATTTTTGAGGAGCAAAAAATAAATGCTCTCCCAGGCATTTGTTTTCTGTGGAACTTTCAATACAGTGGTGCCTTATGATTAGCAGATTGTGAATATCCTGTTCCAATAATGGTAAGTCTAACAAATTCATGATAATCAAACAATTGAAGTACAGTAAAATCTCATTACAATGAAAGGCTAGGGACCTGATGTGAAATTCCCTTTACTGTACATTCGAAAAAATCAAGATTTATGGTTTTTCAACCCATTTTTGACTAGAATTTGGTGGGAAACAAATACTTCAAAGTGCTTAAAAATAAATGAAGATAATCAATGAGTACTTCTGAAAAAATAATAAGAACACTTCTGAAATAAATATTACTTCCTTTCCATCAAGCCTGCTTTATTTGCACTAAAGTGTTCCTCGTTTTGAAAAATAAAATGAAACAAAATTACAAGTGGTAGGAATGCTGTGCTTCCTTCTGCTCTTTCAAATAAAGGAACATTTTTCTCACATACTGTTTATCTGACAGAAGGGATATTCAAGAATATGAAGCTGAAGAATTTCCAAGAAATTGGTCATTTTATGCATTTTCCAAACACAAAGTTATCCCTGCAGAAAGTTCTCTTTTTTGATGTGGTTTAATACTGCACAAGTACATTTTTTCCAAGTTCTGTGCCATTGAATAAATAATTCCCATGACCTATGCTCATAATTGTTGCCGAAAATTGTTATATTGTAATGAGATTACAGCCCAAAAAGAATTTGCTGAAACAAGATGCTTTTCTCAACATTACTCTTATGGGAAACTGCCAGAGGATAAAGAAATGAATTCATCAGAATAAAGTATTTCTTATGGCAATATTTTTTTAAACAGAATTCTATTGTTTATATATAATGAGGAACATGGTCAAAATAAATGCTGCATGCCATCAAAATAAAAAGTATGTTGAATTCATAGTAACGGGATATCATAAGAGGTGTGCTATATATGTGATGTGCTGGAATCCATACCTGATTTCAAACTTCAGACATATTCAAAAAATGGCAGTTATTTCTATTCCAGGTAGTCAAAGTGAGAATCCTGGATCCAAAACACAAAAAGGTGTTATTGTATTTTAGAAGAACATGACCAGCACACTGAAATTCATAACTGGATTCATCTCATTCAAAATCCTGATATCTGTCATCCATGCAGTTGAATTTCAAGGTGAGTAAAAACATTGCATTCAAAAAAATTAAAAAGGATTGCTTCTGAGATGAAAAAAACATTCTGAAATATTTTGGAATGACTAAATTCAATTTTTTTAATTACACTGACTCAAAAAGTATTTACTACTACCTAAAATATTCCTAAAAGTAATTTCTGAAGAACAGCTGATGCAATATTTTGGTGTGCATGTATGAACTAATGCATGACTATCTCCAAAACATTCCTGAAATTGCTGTTATTTATTTAAAGTCAATCATTCATCAATGAGAAGATTCCTTATACAATGGACCCTTGGTTTGAAAACTTTTGTCCTTGGAAGAAAAATTCCTCAGCTAACCAACCAAATTTTTTTTCACAAACTGCTGCTTCTAGGAAAAATTCCAAAATTGGAAAATTCAACTTTTTCATGAACCTGAACTATTGAGTACCATTTCTTTGCAGTTTCAATGGTCTGGTCAAGCTTAGTTATGAGCAAGTAAAGGAGGATTTTCTGTGGGTTGAGTAGAATCAATTGATCAAATGATATCCAGCTGGAAGAGGATTTGAAAGACCTCTTTTTCTCTCTTCTAGTTGTTTCCATTTCCCAAACTTTTAATTTCTTCCCTTTAATTACACAGCATTGTAAAAATATTTTTTCTGGTGGCAGTTATCCTGATCACATGTGAATGCTCTTTTTCTGGATGCTAAGCTTTTTGAGTGATGTTTTAATTCAGAATAGTCCAATTCAACCCTACAAAACATTATAAAATTACAGAGGATGCAACAGTAACTAATTCTGTTTTTTATTTTCCAGAAAGATTTTTATAATTTAATTTCCAATTGTATTTTGGGTGACAGGACAGATTATTTGATTCTCTTTCGAAGTCCAAGAGAAAATCAAATCTGGTTTACATACTGTCTGGAACCATTTCAATTTATTAGATTTTTGTTAGTAGATGTTACACCAGCAGAAAATAGCAGTGCTCAAACTTTTCCCCCTACAAAATCAATGCAGACAGATATTAAAAGAGCAAACACCCAAAACAGAATGAAGTCACAAATAAACAAATATGTCAGTTAAGGAATGAAGCAAGAATAAAGTTTAAAAAAACATTGCAAAAAGAAGCAAGTCTCATTAAGGCAGCAATTATTATCCTCTGTGCCCCTCTGCATTACGCATAACCCATGGACTGAAGGCAACACATATGAACTGATGAATTTGCATTTTGCAGCAAGCCTGAACCCACCAGATGAATTCCGCTCCAAAGCAACCCTGGAGGCATGTGTGAAACTTTGTGTTAGGGTGGACCCATCCACAGGTAAATTGTCATTCAATGGAGGCCACCTGGATTGTGTGGATGCTTGCAGGCAACAATACATGGCCACATCTCCAACACCCCTACTCACAATGCCTGCAGCAGTCAACACTATCCCTGCAGTGGAGTACAGTAGTAGCAATGGCAATCCTTCTGCACAAGAGGTTTCTTTCTTGGACCAGGAGGGACCAGCAGAGATTTCAACCATTTATTCCACTTTGATGAGTGGATGGAAAGTTCTGGAGGATTTGTGTGACATCTTCAATAGGGCCAGAATGTTCAAAGTGCCTGGCATAAGGTAAAATTTGTCAATTTTAAAATTGCTCTGTGAATAAAAAAATCCATTATCCATATATGGGTCACTTGGCACTCTCCACTGTTCCGTGATTTTAATTTCAAAGCAAAATGTATAAAAATACAGTGGCTCTCACATAACAAAATCAATGACTTTGAGGCAAAAAGTTTGTCAACCAAATTTGACTTTCCCATAGACTCCAACAGGGAAGAGTTTAAAACCATTCCTTTTTGAACCCAAAAGACAATTGAACATTGAATATAAAAAAATTCAAAACCATACTCAGAATAAGTTGTTGCTGCATTTTATATATCAGCTCAGGACAGTGTCATATGGAAGTAGCACTGATGTGAACAACAATTAAAATGCTTCACATCCAGAAAAAAACACACATTATAATTACATTTCATTTGAAAATTAAATTTCTTTTTTTATGCTAAAGTGAAGATCGAATAGACCTTTTAAACAGTTGAACAACAAGAAAAACAAAGCACAGAAAAGCAAATAATCCTGTGATAGGAATCTTGTATGAATTGTGTAGCTGAAACAAATTTTAAAACACAAGATTATACACATATTCAATCTCCAGAAGGGAACAATTTTCAAATCAGTACATAGGTGATTTATTTGCATTTTGATTTTACCATGAATTTCAGCCTTAAAATCAAATTTTGAATTTTGAATAAGTTTGATGACCAATTTTCAAGTTTTCCTCAAGCCAAAAGTTTGTTAACTGAGGGTCCAGTGTAATGATTATTTCATAACTTTTTGTGTACAAAAAAAGGAAAATGTTGAATTCATCCTTAAATCCAATAGAGAGCTGTCAGACAAGGACATCATGTGCAATGTTCTGGAGGCAACTGGTCAACCCAATTTCAACAAGGCCACCTGCATGACCTCTTCCAAAGTTGAAGACCTGCTTAGGGGCTGCAAACAAATGACCATTGCCAAAATGGCCCACAGCAGTGATGATGAAATGGTCCTCAAAATGGCCAACCTCCTCAATGAAGAAGTGGTCAAAATCAAGGCCAGACAACACCAACAAAAAACCCCTAGTCTCTTCCAACAAGATGCCCAACAGTGTCAGGAAGCAGCTTCACAAAGACTGGCACTCTGTGTAAATGAAGACTACCTCAAAAGCAAGGAATTAGACACTGTCAAGGCTCTGCAAAAGGATATATCTGACAAGCAGGAGCTCATCAGGCAACTGGAAAAGAAATCTGGTTGTTCAGCAGCAGTTCCTGAAGACACAACAACTGTTGGGCATCTGGAACCCATCATCATTTCATCCAACGACTTGACTCGCAGTTCCTGTCTCAGAGACCTGAAGTTACTCAGGCACACCATGAACAGGATCATAGCTTCTTTGGAATCCAAATACCAGGTCTTGAATCAAAGGAAATGCAATGCTGGAGAAGAAAGGGAATTGGTGTTGAAAGATGATGGTGATGAAGGAAAAGGGACTACTTATCTGGTGGACAATGAATATTACTCATCAGCAGCTCCTCAACTCAGGGGCTTCATTCAAGTTGACCCAGAGAAAAAGACCAATGCAACACTCATCATTCAAGCTCTTGTCACTTCAACTCCAACCCAAACTCAGTGAAAACATTTTTATTTTGAAAGTGGAAAAAACAAATTTCAGAAAAGGAAAACTGCTGCTCATTGACAGACCTTGTGGAAATAAAAGGAGCCTCAAAGATTTTACCAGAGTGAATGGAGATTTTTTCGAAAATGGTTGGAAGTTGATTTTTCCTAAGGCTTCATTGGAGAATCACTCCATCTGTTCCTGGGACACAAAATACAACTGAAAAACTTTTCTGGACAAATAACTGATGACAATTGATTACTCTTGCCTCCTCTCCACATTTATCAATGCTTTGTAAAGTTGAATGGGACTATGATGAATGAAAACAGCACTCAAAAAAGATTGCATGCAGAAAAAAATATTCACTTATATAATGTAACTAAAGAAAAATTCAGCATTTGAACAATGGAAACAAACAAGCAAAAACAGTTTGAAAGTGATATTTTCAAAGCTTCTTACAGTTAGATATCATTTGTTCAATTGATTCTGCTCAACCCACAGAAAACTCTCATTTACTCACTTCATTATGCGGAAAATGTTTTTTGAAGCTTTGGTCTGCCAAGTAATTTATAAGCTTGACTTGCCCTGACTTCCAGCTTGTTGGAAGTGCAAAGAAATAGTAATCAAGAGTTCAGTGTCATGAAAACAGTGGAATTCTCCATGTTGGGAATTGTTTCTGGAATCAGGAGTTTGTGAACCCACTTTTGGTTGGTTAGGTGAGGAATTTTTCTTCCAAGCACAAATGTTTGTTAACTCAAAAGTTTCTAACTGACTGGTTTTAAAGCAGGGGTCCACTTTATTTGTTAACTTGCACACTCATCATTCACAGTTTTGTGTCAGTTGAAGACAACAAACTTCTATATAAGGACATGCAGTTATTATTTTGTTATCCCAAACTGCCGGATGAGAATATAACTCTGAGAGCTTGCACAAGAACGTCTTCTTGTATTCTAGATCCCTTAAGTCCTAATCCAATGACTACTGTTGGAATAAACTTTGCCAAGAATTTTCAATCTTATGGCCGGAGTAAAGCAAGTGAGACAACTTCTCTTAGTCCCAGATAAATATATATCAGAACTGTCTTGGATCTGAAGGAATCAATCTCATTTGTCCCGATTGCTTGGTGGAGCGTGCACATCTGATACAAGTGAGTTCCAATAATTTTTGATTTCCTTGATTTTTGTGCTTTTACCACTTCCTTTCCAGCACTTTCTCGAGTGAATTTCATCAGTGAGTGATAAATTGACCTTTTTGATATTTTTAAAGCATTTTTGTTGAATTTGGCTGAGTAGAAGACAACGATTGTCATAGGAATTGGGCGGCGCGGAACGGAGTGGCGCTGAAACTCGTGGAAAGTGAAATGGGCATACCAGCAAAAATTGGATCATGAGGGTGGCCATACTTCTTCTTTTGGTGAGTAAAGTACCAGTACATTAGGTTTAGCAGTGTTTCCATATAGGGTGCAATAGGGTACCGCTGGGTTGTCACATAGGGGTATGACAGTATTGCCACATGGGGGGACGGTAGTGTTGCCACATAATGGTATAGCAGTTTTGCCATATGCTTCGAGATATTTTCTTCTTCTTGTACATTTGGCAGGTTCTGACCAGGTACCATCTGGTGGCTGGTTCTGACTGTGCTGTAGTGGGAATCAGGTTAGCATGCAATGACCTGTGCAAAGCGTACAACGCATTTTGTTTTGGCTACAAAGTAGACTTCCTTGGGACTCATTTGGATCTGGATTGTGTTGTTCACTTCCATCTTAAAGTAAATATACAAAATGACATAGTTGATTAGTACTTCCTGTACAATATTTCCCATGACATTTTTTAGAGGGTTTCTATAATGGGTCCAACTTTCTGTAGAGGCTCCACTGATAGAATGGATAAAGTTGTCCATGCAGCCTTGGAAGAATTGCTTTTTCTCCTTCAGAAGTGAGTGACAATCAGAAAGTGGGAAAATGCGAGTATATTAAATACAAACTGTGGTCATTTCCAGAAAATGAAGTGGAAGTTAGTCACCAAACCATCAAAAAGACTATGGAAATGGTGAAAACTTTGACTTTGGGTCCTAAGGAGCCAGCATTTCTGGAGGAGCCTTGTCGAGTGTTAGAGAGGCTTTTTGAAGAGAAGCTGTTTCTGGATGAGAAGACCATGAGAGGTTCTGCAGCTCCCACCAGCAGTTCTACTGACCCAGGTGGTTCTGAGGAGTCTGGTATTCAGCTAGTGCTTGGGCTCTGGTAGTTTTGGGCAAGGTTGTAGACCTGGCTATGCCAAAAAAGGAGATTTCTACCAACTTGGGTGAAACTAACCTGAGCACCATAATTAACACTCTTGCAAACGCCACCAGGCTAAATATCACCGCTGTAGACAAAGATGGGAACATAGTCCATGCTGAATTTCCCATAGTGGCGGTCAAGATAGTTGCCTATGTTTCTGGTGGTGTGGGCACTCTTGTGGCATCCATTTTGGGTTTGATTTGCTGTTGCCAGTACAAGTTGAAGGCGTGTTTCTTATTTGGTTTCTTGGTTTTCTATTGCACACAAACATTAAGTATTCCTTCTTGGGTGGCTATGCATGGCTTGGTTTTGGCTTATTTCAGAGGGAAGAACAGATTGTAACTCCTAATCGTTTGAAAAAAATAGTGAATCTTCTGATGCTACTGCCATTACAAACCTTTCCTTTGGGGAGGCCATTGAAATGGCAGAGATGAACAGAAGATTTGCTACAATTAGACCAGCTAAAACGCGTAAGTGCACTGTACATACTTGCTTTCTGCACTTTGCTGTGTATTTTAGAGTTCTGTCCACAGATACGCAGGATGGAACAGGGCACACTCAAAGTTTTACTATGTTTGGGGTGGCCCCTAGTACAAGTCTGGATCCAAATGAGAGCTTGTGTTGAACAAGACAAAGACTTGGAGTCAGGGGTACACAGCCATGAGCTCAGGATGGACAATGCAGGACCAAAACAGGATCGGATGACGGCGCTAGTGTAGAAAGCTTCAAGACGGCTAAGGAGTGATCCGTTTGGTTGTTTTTTGGTTGCGCAGATAGGCTTTTGTTGTACAGTTAGGAACCTGCACTAAAAAGCTTTAAGAGAGTTTTTGTGTTTTACTGTTTTTTGTTGAAAGTCATCAGGACCAACAAATCATCAGATAAAAAGCACAACTCAAGGGGGAAATCAATCAAGCTTGTCAACATAGATGGCAAGGGTCAAAGTTAAACAGCGAATGACAGAAAGAATTGCCCTTTACTTGATAGCCATGACTCCAAATGCACTTAACTGTAGACGCAGATATTGAGGGGAGAAAGGGGCACTTCTGCTAGGAACTAATTCAATAGTAGCCCCTTCTTGATGATCCATATTACAGCGCCTTCTTCTGCGGACAACATATTTGATTTTAGCAAAACATAGGTAGAAAATGCTGATTAGTATAATTGACAGTAACACTATGGAGACAATTGGATAGATATACCCGTGGTCTCTAAAATGTAACTGCGATTCACTATTATCTTCTGCTGCACTACTTCTGGGAGTTGCTGCAGAAACTTTGTCAACTGCGTTGATTTTTACATTTTCTAGCTTTGGTATGACACTTTTAAAAGGTCCATTAACCACAGTATATTGACAGGCAGGCTTAAATCTAAAGATTCCAGAGTAGGGCAATTCATATGAGTTTTCAGAGGCAGGTATTTTGTTATTTTCAGAAGTGGCTCAATATTGTGTAATTTGACCCTTGTCAATCCCGGTAAGCAAATTTGTCTCTGTCAAGCTGCACCACTTCATTCTCTGGTTCTTTAACTTTTTGCAGATGGCATGTAGCTTTAATATCTGCTTCATTGCTTTTGTCTTAGTAGGTGGGAGTGACTCAGAGAGACTTGTTGCCATTTTGGGGTGCCCATGAAAGTGTCTTTGGCAATGGGAAGGGTATGAATTCTAAACAATTTGTAGTCATATTAACAACCACAACACCCTTCACTTTCCGCATGACCCTTTTAAGCTAATGTATCTCCACTACGCTTGGCTGCGCCTGGTGCGCTAGCAATTACATTTCCCAATCCTGTTGTTGATGGTGTTATCCTTATTTGGGAAAAATCAATAAAAGACACTATCGCAGTTCTAGAAGAACGTCTTCTTCTATGGACGCGATTAATCTGATACAAACTTGCTTTCCAAGAATAAACTTTTGACGAGAAGATTTCTTCCCTATAGCCCGAGTTTCTAAGTGAACAAGACTTCTTGTTTTAAAGACGTGAGTACGTATATTTCCATGTGACTGCAACAAACGCCAGACTGACAATGAATACCAAATATACACTTCACGGACCTTAAATAGATTCAGAATAAACCAGACATGCATGATGCAATTCAGTCGGGAAAACAGAAACGGGGACAGGGAATGACCACAAACCAGACACTGTAAAAGTACGCATCATGACCTCTTCAGATTTGGATCTGAGTTGCTAGGCAAGAAAGTATTGTTACGTTTTGGGACGTACAAAAAGAAAGGATAGGAAGCGTCATTATAAACCTATCCCAGGACTCTCATATTAATATTTGATGACAAACTCACCCCAGACAAATTTGAGGAAAGTTCCATTCTTTTCAAGTTCAAAAGTCAAGTGAAATGTTTCCAAAAAGAAAGTGTACTAGATTGCCAAGTGAACTCAAGAATATCAATGAATATACAAATATTGACAAGCCTGGGCATTGGTTCCCATATGGCCATCAATTTCCAGCAAAAATTCTGTGCCAGGGAAGATTTTTTTGCCTTCCACACATTTTGTGGGGCACCATGTGCTCAAGAATTCACACAGATGCTGGGAGTTCATCCAGGTTTCTGAAAACTGGAATGTGGCAAAAGTCACACACTGGAATGGAAACGAGTTCCCAAAACTTGATCTATGCCTTCCTGAGACATGATTGAGAGCAAATTGGCTCATTTTAGTCTCACTTCTGGAATGGTCAACATCTCTTCAGGTGAGAATTTTCAAGAGTTTTTCTGAGTGTCTATCTGTTCCAGGTTATGTTTGAAGCTTCCCTGGATGTTTTTAAACAGTTTTTAACCCCTTTTTAGGTTTTTTTTTGCGTGTAAGAAAAAGAAAACTGCGGCGTCATACAAGACAATGATCCGGTTCAGGCACAGAAAATCGGCCATTTTGCATCAGTGGGGGCTTCCAAAACATCAGGAATCAACCAAAAAGTCAGAGTGTTTCCAGTGACAGCATCAGACACCCAAAACTGCAGCAACATGGGAATCTTCAGTGTTGTAGCAGTGACATCTACAATTTTGGAGGTAAGTTTTTTCAAACAAAATATTTCCCAAAACATAGTTTTCAGTGGCTCCAATTTTTGCAGGTGGTGATAATCCATTTAGCAGGAGGTTGTGAGGAAGTTGGAGGGAAACTGGTCTGCCTG